AAGAAGATTATGATAGACTTCGCTTGGCCTTTCACGATGAATCCCCATCTCGTGCCACTGTTTACAACTGGTTTAATGAGTTTAAACGTGGTCGAACTATTCTCAGTAATGATCTGCGTGGGGGACGGCCTTCTACAGCGACGACTGAAGATAACATCAGTGTTGTCCGGCGTATGATAGAGACTGACAAAAGAGTGACTTATCAACAGATTCGGACAAGCTTAGGCATCGGTATGAGTCAAGTGCACAAATCCTCCATGAACATTTAGCGGTCAGGAAGCTTTGTGCTCGGTGGATACCTCATAATTTGACAGAGTCCGAAAAACTCCGTCGTGTTGATTGGTGTCGTGAAATGGTTTTATGGATTTAACGGTGACTCAAATGCTGTGTTGGACATACTTACAGGTGACGAAAGCTGGATTTATTGTTATGATACTGAAACTAAGAGACAGTCTACTGTCTGGGTGTTTCCTTCCGAGGAGTTGCCAACTAAAGTGAAGAGAGGTCGAAGCGTGGGAAAAAAGATGGTGGCCTCGTTCTTCGGAAGGACAGGTCATTACGCAATAATCGTTTTAGAGGATCGAAAAACGGTTACTGCAGAGTGGTACACTAACAATTGTTCGTCACTTGGCTTGGAAAAAGTTCAGGAGAAACGACCTCGCAGTAGGATCCTCCTTCACCACGACAACGCCTCGTCGCACACCGCCAAGCAAACAATCAACTACTTGGCGACGTCACACGTGGAATTACTGGGTCACCCGCCCTATAGCCCCGACCTCGCACGTCACAATTTTTATTTATTTCCGAAAATGAAAGAAAAACTTCGAGGAAAAGGTTTTATGGACGCCGAGGAAGCAGTGGCTGCGTTTCAAAATGCCGTCGAAGGTACCCCTAAGGACGAGTGGGCAGAGTGCTTTTCTCAGTGGTTATATCGGATGCAGCGATGTATTGATGTAAATGGACACTATTTTGAAAAGATATAATAAAACTAAATAACTTGCTAGTTTGTTCAATTTTTGATTTTCTAAGAACTTTCATTGTCCTCGTAACGTATTTAGTACCGTCTGGTCTTGCTTCCGCCACGCACAAAGCATGCATCAAAATCAAGGCCTGTTACGGATACATACAAAGTCCACTGATGAACATAGGCCTCCTCTATAGATTGCCTCATAGGGGGGCTATTTGCTATAGTTGTCACGCTTGGCGGGCGGCTGACTGGCAATCGTAGTTTTAATTACTGTTGAGTTATCAAAAATATTTTACTGCCCCATTTCTTATTTCAGTTTTTCTTTATCTTAAGACACGATAATGTAAGAATAGCACACTGGTATTTCTCGTCCTAATTTTCTCATTCCCGATGTTACACTGTACCATGAGAACAGAGGCAGGATAAGAAGCAGTGTCAGAGACGAGGAAAATCACAAGTAGAATCATGTCTTTAAAATGTTTTCTTTCCAAATAGCCCGTAAGACAGCAGAACTCCCGCAGGCCTCTTTCATTGTAAGGAGAATTTTCTTTCCATAGCGAGACATACCAGACTAGCACTACTAGCACACACATTACATCACACTAGCATATCAGATTGATTGGCCTGACTTGACTGGTGTTTTGACTATAAAAGTAAAAGTAAAGTTACAGCCTATATACGTTCCACTGCTGGGCACAGGTCTCCTCTCATTCCTGAGAAGGTTTTAGGGCAAGGAAATGTCCGCCGCGCTACCCCAATGCGTGTTGGCGAACTTCACATGTCTTCGAAAATATTTTTTCTTTTTTTCAGACATGCAGGTTTTACTCAATGCTAAATTAAGAGAAATAAAAACCACATTTAAATTTGAAACCTCATTTATTTTACAAAAATAAATGTATTGACGACAAATAGTTTATAATATTCGGGGTCCTTACGAATTCATCAACTCCCATCTGAGTTTCCATCAGAAATGTTTCAAGACATTGTAAAAAATTCAGTTTTTACAAAAGTTATTATTTTTATCTTAAAACATTAACAACATTACACTTTCACATCTACATCTAATAACGGTTGATCACTTTTATTTTTACATAATAACATTGGCGCTTAGGTAAATAAACATTTATGACACATATCTAGATAATGACTTTCAATCGACTTAATGTCAAAGTGACTAGGCCCAGTAAACGTATAACTTATCATAAATCAACCGTTGATTATTTATTTCATATATAATATATTTCACAAAAAATTATTAATGAAATGTAATAAATAATAACTTGAGATTTCTTACGTACTGCTTATACACATTGTGAATTTTCGGTTTCATTATAAAACCCTATGAATTTGTCAATAACTAAATGCAGGCGTGCAAAATAAAAACGACTATATACTCCCGTATACATTGTATATTAGTTATAGCGATTACCAATGATGTTTAAAACTATAGGTACTTTGGTGGCACCCTGACTGACAATTGAGGCTCTTCCGGCCTGTTGATGGAGGAAATGCATTCAAATGTGCCGAACCAGACTCTATAGACTGATGGAACGGAGCAAGCTCTACTAGGGTTTTCTGGGAAAATTCTTCCATCTGTGCACTTTACAGGTTATGTCCATCTGTGGACTTGGTTGATAATATTAATAAGTAGCCTTTGTAAAAAATTGAAAAGAAAGACACTCGAATGGCTTATAATAGCTTAAAAAATAGCTTTCGCTAAGTGGGTAACGCTCACGTGAGCTTCTACAACTTTTTTCGCCATCAGGGCGGCGCCACCTTAGAATGAGGTAAAATATTTGACAGATCTCATGGCGGGGAAGTTAAATTGTTAGAAAAGTGTAAATATTAATGTTTCTTTCTGAAATATTAGTTATATATTTATGGATTATAAATGAACAAACAAAACTACCGATAACTATCAAGATACGGATATTCATAAGAGTATAACTAATTATTGAAAAAAGTTAAAATTGTACAAAAAATTAAAAAGCTCATCAATGAGACACATACGGTAGAAACCGAAAATCTTTTTCTAAATGCAGCTTATCAATGACTATGACACTGTGTGACAAATAACTTCTCCTCAGTCCCAACTAGCGACATCTGGTGAGCGAAATATAGCCCCAATAGGCATATTTTTGTCTTCAGTGGTGTAAACATTTTTAAAACATCATGGATACATTATTTTTAAATAATTAAATGTCAATATTTGTTTTTATACCTATTCCTACATGCCATATTAGGGGTTTTTTTTACTTGGCAGAAAGTTTTACAATGATGTGGTTTTAATGACACATGAAAATCGTCTTTTTCACGGTAATTACGATCAAATTCTTATATTTATCAAAATTTTTATAGGGGAACATAGATTTATTAACAGAGACCGTGAACGACGTGTAGTCTTTTAACAATATAGATGTTTTGTAAAATAGGTATATACGACTATTTTTTTTTAAATAACTTCTATTATTGGGGCACGACCGGTTGTTAATGAATCATATTAAAATTCTGATAACGAAGGATTTTATTTAGGTATGCACGAAAAATTATTAAGTAGGTACTCGTAAGCTTTTCCATAGACATATAACCTAAAGCAGTCTTTTACATTTTCTCATACAATTCTTTTGAATAAATAAATTGGGGACAGAATACATTTTCAATTCGATAATGATAATGCCCAACAAAGTCAGATTAGGTATCTTAAAACGTTAAAACAATATTATTTTGTTCAAATTGTGCGCGTGACTAGAGACGCAAGGTTAAAAAGGGGCGCGCGCGGAAGTTTATAAACGAAAAAAAAAATCGCCTAAATATACATCGCCTTACTCTATCATCCCATTTTTCATTCACGCCCACCTGTTAGGGGTACTCGTGTCCTAATTATTTTGCAACTATTAAACTATATTATAAATTATAATATAGTTTATTTGAAAAATCAGTATGTACTTATAATTTATAATATATGGCCGTTACAGGGGCGCGATGAGGTGCTAGCCTGTGCTGTCGACATTTAATCCGCCTCTGTATGGAGTCCGTTTAGTTTTTATAATAATTATATCGATACGAGTACAATACACACAAGTCCGTATACCACGCTAATGATGCAAGCTCGTTCCAACATATTCTACATATTATAATACCAATATGTTATACATAGAAAAGTAAATTGCAAATTAAGCCTAAAACACCTACATTCTTCGACTAAGAAATCTACTTGGGCTCTGTCAGAGGATGTATATTTTCATAGCAAGGTTATTATGGTAGAAATTTATAAACATTTAAATGTCGTATGAAATAACAACCAATGTGTTTTAAGTAATATACTATGTACTATAGCTACCTAGGAAGGAAAGCGTGACAAGGCTTTTTTACACCCCATCATTAAATTACTGTTCCTGTAAAGAATTTTATAAATTATCAACGCGTTTGATTGTTTTTTTTTTAACCATGTCACGCTTTCCTCATATAGGGTTTGCTCTTAGCCAACACTATGCTCCATCACGTTTAAACTAAATAAAAATTGGTTGTTCCATCTACAGATATACTGTTATATAAAAGTTATATGCGTTACACAAAGCTAAAACGGTTTTTACTAAAAAAGAAAATCCATATTCGAAGGATACCCTGATAACAGCAACTAATAATGCGTTCAAATTACGTAAACACTGGCCGAGTTGTTGATGTTTGAGAAATATATATTTATTTCTAAACAATGGTATTTACAACGTCAATTTATAGTTTTATATCAGCAGACTATATGAATGATGGCAATTTTAAAGGAGAGTTTTGCTGTAAATACGTAGTTAAGTGAATGATTAAACCGAAGTACAAGATTGTTTATTTTTTTTTACTCATTTTATAACATTTTAATGGCATTTAAAGTAAAAAATATTTAGAAAAGAAAATAATTTAAAAATTAGGGTGGAGGGCTAACATTTTTCTATAATTTTATGTACCGTTTTACATACCATTTATAATCTGCTAATATAAAATAGCCAAAATTCAACTCTGCTTAGCTGTTCTCAAAAGTTTGCTATGATGCATCAGTTTCGTGCGGGTCGGGTGGTTGTTGGGGGATGTAGTTCCATCTTGCTCGCACTTCTGCCTCCTCAGTGGCCGTTGCTTGAGTCGGCGCCGAGGGAGACGACGCGACAGCAGCCCGTCTCGCTCGCACCACCGCAAGATGGCGCTGAATATAATGTTCGTGTGGAGCGAGAGCGGCGGCTCTAGCTAGGCATTCTTCAGCAACAGCCAACTTTCCCCTCTCCACTGCGACAACGCAAAGGTTGTGGAGGGCTTGTACATTGTCCGGTTCCAATTCTAGGATACGTCTGTAGCACTGAAAGTAGAGAAAAAAATTGTATACTTTACTTTACCAGTGGCTGAATAAAAGCATCCATCCATCAACCAATTAATTAAGCTTTTTTATATGGATTAAGGGTGACAAGCGGGCAACAGTCCACCTGATGGTAAGTGGATGCTGTGGCCCATTTATCCTCGATTAATACATAATCAAAATACAGATGCCTCGTCACTTCTGAGGATTAAGATGGAATTGCTTGTTTCTAGTCCAGGGTCTCCAGTTCTCTACACTCTACTCTACTATACTCTATACTCTACAAACTACACTCTACGCTCTCACAGAATATGAGCGTGGTACTACCCTCGGTCAGACCGACCCATTCGCCGATCCAGAGTCATGCTGCCGCTATATTATGCTGCAACCATAATATATCGGCAGCATGGGCTCCGCCACGTTGTTCGTCACCACTTACAGTCAGGTAGGATTGTTTAAAGAACTGGCTTATAATAAGTATAAAAGTACATTCTGTGGGTGTCGTAAGAAATGACATAGACATAAAGGGTTGATTCGAATGGGATAGGACCACGCTCTCACAGATTACCAGCGTAAAGAAGCAGCTTAATGCTGCTGTGTTTTGTAGGTGAGTTTAGAGAACCGGGGACCCTTTTTGCTGGAAGCGAGACATTCCATCTTAGTCCTCACGGGTGACAACGCATCTACATTTTGATTTGTAATAGAGGATAGATGTAGATGTGTACGTGTCATAGCATCCACTTACCACCAGGTGGAATGTGTGTTCGTTTGTTACTTTTATTCTATCATAAAATGTAAGGAACATCTTGTGACTTTCGAAAGATGGCAGTGTTACAGTTTCGTATTTTATACCAAATGTTAAACAGCATAGAGAGACCGGCGATGCGAAGCAGCGTTAAAAGGCCTTCCAGTAATATAACTGCCAATTCGCCATCCAAACAATCCCAGAAATTGTTGTTACATTTTTTATTAAAAATGAAAGTCGAAAATAGTGTATTTACATAATATAGGGTAAGTAAGCATGTGGATGTCGTAAGAGGTGACAGAGTGAAATTTAAACAGGTGATTGGCAGCAGCATCTACCTAATTACAACACAAAATAATAAAAAAACTGCGGTTGACAACCCGCTCGCCAAGCGTGTCAACCATGGCAATATCCCTCCTATGAAGCAATCTATGGGGGAGGCCTATGTTCAGCAGTGGACGTTTATAGGCTGTAATGGATGGATGGATGAAGTAAGTATTTGACGGCTACACGACGCAGTGGCTTAGCAATAAATTGCAGCGCCAAGGGTCGCGGGTTCGAATCCCGCACAGAACAGGTGTTTGTATGGCCTACAAATAATTGTTCCGGGTCTGGATGTTTGTCCATATGAAATTTATCTATGTAAACTGCCCCCCACGATACAGGAGAAAATCATATTGTGGAGGTAACGTTTCATAAAACAGAGTATACACATTAAATATGTTAAAATTTGGCCCTTTTTATGTTATAGGATTAAGAAGTTAGGATGATGTTACAGAAAAGCAAACGTACAGAACAATATTATAAGGGTTCCTTGCACGACAGGGGAAGCTTTAATAAACTATACAATGCTTTTTTTATAGTATAATGGTGACAAACGAGCACACAATCCACCTGATGGTAAGTGGTTGCTGCGGCCCATAGACATCTACATCTATCTTCTATTACAAATCAAAATGTAGATGCGTTGTCACCCGTGAGGACTAAGATGGAATGCCTCATTTCCAGTAAAAAGGGCCTCCGGCCACCTGCACTCACCAAACGAAACGCAGAAGTAAACCTCTACTTCACGCTGGTTTTCTGTGAGGTCGTGGTACCACCCCGGTTCGAGCCGGCCCATCCGTACGACAGCAAAAGCTGTCGCGTGGCTCTACCACTGTTAAGCTAAATTTCGATTGACGTTGAGTGTCCATGTCATTGTATATATATTTAAACTTATGCGTATAACAAAGTATTATTTAAGAATATATTTATTAAATATGTCTTATATTAAAAAATAACTTTAAGCCAATATAAAAATATATATTATATTATCAGACTCACGCTTTCGGCAGCATCCAAATCTTTCACGGAGTTAATATAGATGTCTCCGAGAAGGACTAATGCTTTAACATGGTCCGGATGATGGCGGACGAGTTGTTTTAAAAACGGCGCAGCTTCCAGCGGCCGCCTGCGATCTGCTAACAGCAGCGCTAAATTAAATAGCGCCGAGCGAAAGTCCGGTTTGAGGTGTACGGCGCCTCTAAACCACCGCTCTGCACATTCTGCATCGCCATCGTCCATGCACACCATGCCAAGGTTGAAATGGACGCGTTCGTTTGTTGCTGAAAACGAATTTATTATTGTTAGTCAAGTTTCTCTGATTCCTGTTGGGAAGAATATCCACTACCCCATATACCCCACTACCATACCACCCCCCACTACCATATACACAGGGAAAATGAAACAGGGGGATGGGCAGCAGCATCTTCCTGATAACAACTGTGAATAATAAAAAAAACTGCAGTTGGCAAACCGCTTGGCAAGCGTGGCAAGTATGGCCAATTGCCCCCACAAGGCAATCTACGAGGGAGGCCTATGTTCAGTAGTGGACTTTTCCACCAACTTCAATAAGGAGACGGTACTCAATTCGACTGTATGTTTTTTCTTCTCTTTTTTATGTGTGTTACCTCATAACTATTTACTGGGTGAACGGATTTCGAAGATTCTTGGAGCCTTTTTTGTCTTTGAGTCCGTCTGGGTAAATGCCATCCTCTTACCAACCTCCTATTGCTGCTGCAAAGCGGCAGTGCTTAAACGGTTGTGGTCTGGTCTGAGAGCCAGTATATATTAGCTGTGAGGCATTCCATCTTAATCCCTTAATCACATGGACTATTAGCTCGTTTTTACTTGAGGTTTTTCTTAAAGCAAGCACAGTTACCAGTACGAACATAATTGTTACAGTCAGTTATTTACACTAATGTGTGAGAATTGAAATCTACGAACTTCTATTAGAAAACTTACCGTCTTTATCTAGCAGCTTTAGAAGGCGTTGCCTCGCAAGCTGCCTCAGATCGGCGGCGCCTAATTCTTGAAGCAAAATGGCGGAGTTGAGTAGCGCTTGTTCATGCTCCGGTTCGAGCTCAAGGGCCTTGTCCAAATACGCGAGGGCTTGAGATGCTTTGCCTTGCTCTAGTAAGACGACGCCCAACTGGAATCAAAGAAGTATATTTATTACTAGTGACCAGACCGTCTTCAAGTTTTGAGGTATACTAAAAAAATAAAACGAAAAAGAGACTGTACAACCAATGCGTGTTGCCAGTGATGACTTATGAAACTGAGACGTGGTCCTTCACTGCTGACCGTATGAGGAAGCTCAAGGTTACACAGCGAGCTATGGAGAGGGCTTCGGGGTTTCTCTGCATGATAAACTTAGAAATGAGGATATCCGCAGTAGAACAACAGTGACCGACATAGTTCAATGGATTAGTAAGCTGAAGTGGCAATGGGCCAGCCGGCCATATATGTAGCTATATGGAACTGAAGCACCGACAACCGATGAGGGGAAAAAGGTTCTCGAATGGCAGCATCGTACCGGTAGGCGAAGTGTAGGGCGAGCCCCCACTAGATGGAGTGATGACCTGGTAAGACATGCAAGAAATAGATGGATGCAGGTAGCTCAGGACCGTGCTTTGTGGCATTACTTGGGGGAGGCCTATGTAAGCAGTGGACCTGTGAAGGGCTGTAATGATGATGATGATAACCAGACCGTAATTGACCGTGCGTACTAATATTTTAAGTAGGTATATCTAAAAGTTTGTGAAAACAATGGAATGTTACTGATGGTAGGAGTCCATTCCTGTATAGAAGTCCGTCGTGGCAGGTTCCATCTTCGTACCAATTTCTGCCGTCAAATACCACTGCTTGCACTGCGGTGTTCCAGTCTTAAGACTATACAGAGGCAGTATAATTACACGCTGTGAGACGTTCCATCTTAGTCCTCAGAGGTGATCACGCACAAACAACTGCAGCCCACTTCTTTGTTTGAAGGTGGCTGTAAGTATTACACTTACGTAACAGCCACTTATCGTCAGATGGACAGTACGTTCGTTTGTCACTTCAGTTTTATAAAAAAAAAAAAAACTTTACATTACGTGTAATATGCAAAACATATAAACGGATTTCAATAAAATTAGCATAACGTAAAGTACAAGAACACATGGAAAATTTTAAAATGTATCTGAAAAAGCGTTTCCGTCTCTACGAGACTGAAGCTTGAAATTAAAGGTCACATAATAATTTTAAGCAAGTTTAAACTTGTTCCGGTAAAAAATAAAGATCCTAAACTGATTTTGTACGTGGTAGAGCCATGCTGCAGCTATATCTATACATATAATAAAACTGTAAATAGCAGATGTCTGTACATTTTATATTTTTGTAATAAAAGTGATTGAGGGGTACTAAAAATAAGTAATTAAATACAATTCTACCATTTTTAGAATTTTCTGTCTGTCTGTCTGTCTGTCTGTCTGTCTGTTTGTTTGTTAACGTATCACGTATAAAGTACTAATTTATATCATAAGAATTGTTAAGGAAATTATAAAGTGTATCTTCGGGTTACATTTAGTCTTTATTTCATTAAAATCAGTTCATTCCATCAAAAGTTATGATAAATATTCTGAAGTATGGGTAGGGAAGTATAGGTACGAATTTGCTCAACGGTGGCTTTGTTTGAGTCATCAAGTGCATTTTAAAGTAATATCATATCATAAATCATAGTTAAATTATGTAAAATAATGATATAATTATGTATATCTAAAACGCAGTAAACAAAAGTATTAAAGAACGTATTAAATATATTATACAAAAATATATTAACCTTATTAACTAAATCTGAAGCACAATAGTTAACCCATTTCTTCGATAGATGGTGGTGTTGTGAAAATGTAATGCAATTGCAATGTGGTTTTGTTCCTGTAGATGAGTTTTCATATTTACTGCTAATCTTTATTATATTACTCGCTGCCCTACTGCGTGTTGACAAACTCAATTTATTCTTTACCGCCGAGTACTCTATGTGGTAAATCAAATTTTAAAAGAGCTATTAACAATTGCGTTGGTTTTGGCGAGAGTCAAACTTTATTTTTTGCTTACTGTGCAGGCACTGATTTATAAGTTCTCTTGCGTTTTATATAATGTATCAATCGTGTCAATTAATCTCTTTTATTTTTAGAATTGATGTTAGCAGCGCCATCTCTCTTTAAATATATACATATAATAAAAATGATGATAACATGTGTCTCTTTCTGTACATTGTATATATATTTTGGTGGCTAAAATCATTATGGGGAACTGAAAATAATTAAATAAGAACATTTTATAATTTTTAGAATTGTCTGTCTGTCTATTTGTCTGTTATTATATGAACGCATCACGTCTAAAGTAAACATCTTTTATTTTCAAAGAAATCGTTAAGAAAATCATAAAGCGTATCTTCGAGTTACATTTAATCTTTGTTTTATTAAAATTGGTTAATTCTATCGAAAGTAATGATTATTATTTTGAAATGTAGGTTCGAATTTGTTCAATGGCGCCATAAAATCTCAGAAATAGTAATAAAAAGATTTGTGTGTAAAAAAAACGTTCCATAATAATTAATATACTTAAAACACAAAAAGAGATTTAAAAAGGATGTTTTCTCACACAAAGGACGCAATAGATGGAGTTGTACAAATTACAAACTTTTCTGAATTGCTGTGTTGAGATTTTTCGCCGATGAATCGTATTGAGACTTACTGAAGAAATTTGTATCCACCGAAGCCATACAACGGAACCCGACCAAAAATAAAAATTTTGCAACGAAATGTCGTGATATTGTATTTATAATATACGCAAAATCAGTACTGCCATTTTAGCGCTTTGGGAACTAGATTTAGCGCTTTTTTGGAATGTATAGCGCGCATTTCGAAATTTTAGCACCTAGCTTAATCCAGCGCTTTTTGGTGTATTTAGCACACATTTCAATATTTTAGCGACTAGCGGGTTATTAACTCTTTTATAGCAGCACTGTTAGTCCACATTACCGATAATAATAATAATGACCTTTATTATTTTTTCCCACAAATAGTACATTGCAGTTTATCTTTTTCAAACATATTTTTTCCACAAAACAAAGAGCATGGGAGACGAGTCCAAACTAGGATACCCTGTGCTATGGATCTCCTGGCTTCCCCTTTAGGATGATCAACTTGATTTTTTTACCGACGACTATAAACGGGGAAATCCCCTTTATTAAAGTTTTCGTTCATGGTTTTGGCAACGCATTTATTTTGCTTTATTCAGTTTCAGTCAGTTGCTTAGAGCACAGCTAAGTTAAAAGTTACTTAGAAGTTATAACACAAAGAAACTGTGTAGCAACCGCAATCAGATGCTGACATCTGAAACTAAGTTGCGAAATACATTGCACTTTAAAACAATTAATGACATTTTTATTGTTCGTACAGTACTAACTACTGTTGACAGCAATTGCCATAATTATAAGTCGATGTCCTGCGAAGTATTGATACATCAAAAAAATATTGCCAGAAAAAAAAACTTAATGTTGTTTTCTTTATTATGATTATATAAAAATACACAAACTTTGTTTGTAGTTAATTTAGCGCGAAATCTAGGGCTTTTTTAAAGCGCTGTTTTCATGAAATCTAGCGCTTTTTGTGTTGTCCTAGAGCTGAATGAGTTTTTTTTATCTGGCAGCACTGCCCAAAAACCCTCTATTAAGAAGTAACTTTCCTTTCAGTTTTAAGCGCGTTCAGTTCCCAGTTACAGTGAGCGTGTGTTATGCGATGACCGTAAATAAAGCGCAAGGTCAAACTTTACGCGTTGTAGGAGTGTACCTCAGTACTGACTGTTTTGCACATGGCCAACTCTATGTTGCTTTTTCCCGCGTTAGTAGCCCCCGTAACCTTTTTGTGTACACCCCGGTTAAGCCTACTTCTAACATCGTTTACACAGAAGCTCTATCATAAACGACTTAGAACTTTGATGATAATGATTTATTTAGTTACCACCTATTGATACAGTAATGAAATAAATCGTTTAATATTCTCTTACCTAAACGACAAATTCTTTATGTAAAACCTGTATACGCGAGCTACGCCGCGGGCACAGCTAGTTAGTAATATAGTTGTAGCACGAATGGGTCGGCTCGACCGGGGAAGGGCCACGCTCTCACAGAATACCAGCGTAAAATAGCAACTTGACACTGCTGTGTTTCGTGTGGTGAGTGTAGAGAACCGGAGACCCTTTTTACTGGAAAAGAGGCATTCCATCTTAGTCCTCACGGGTAACGACGCATCTGCATTTTGATTCTTTATTGAGGATAAATGTAGATGTCTATGGGTCAGAGCAACCACTTACTATCAGGTGGACTGTGTGCTCGTTTGTTACCCTTATTCTATAAAAAAAAATGATCTCATTACGGTCTCTGGTACCAAAGTCTATCAGATCTAATTAAATTATATATTAAATATATTAAATACCAGTTCCAGCTCATTTTGAAACTTCAGTTCCTGCGTTTGAGTTCATAATCGCATAATATACTTACGTTGTAGTATATATCTGGGTTCCCACTATCATAGAGCAAAGCTCGCTCATAGACTTCTTGCGCTTCCTTTGTTCGATTTAGTTTTATCAAAATGTCCCCCCTATTTATATAAGCCTGCGTGTAATCCGCCCTCATACTGATCGCCTGTCTATACAGCATGTCGGCCTCTTCGAGCCTGGTCGCGTTTTTCGATATCAAATTGGCTAAATTCAAGAAGACGTTCAAATGGTTTGGAGCGATTCTTGCTTGGTACGATTCCCCTGGCTTTGCTTTCGGTAGGAGTGATTTAGCTTTGACGTAGGCTTCCTCGGCTTCTTGGTACCGTCCTAAGTGATTATAAGTTCTCCCGACGTTAATATGGGCACCGACGTCATCAGGTTGAACGCTGACGGCCGTGTTGAAGAATTCTAGAGCTTCTGCGTAACGGCCTTCTGATTCTAGAGCGTGACCTACGTTGTTGTAAAGTTTTGCATTGTTTCGGTTGACCTGAAACAAATTTGTTTTATATAATAAACAAATATAAGCCGTGATAATGTTTTGCCAGTTGGTAGCGGGTAAAAGCATCTATCTTGTTTATTTTGTGTATGTCGTAAGAAGCGAAGCCAAAGAGATTTCATAGGGCTCCGACAGATGGCGGTATAACAGTAACGGTGTCGAAGGGAAGCGTAGAAAAGCAACTCAATGCTGCTGTTTCGTATGGTGAGTGTAGAGAACCGGAGACCCTTTTTACTGGAAACGACGCATTCCATCTTAGTCCTCACGGGTGGCAACGCATATGCATTTTGATTCTTAATCGAGGATAGATGTAGATGTCTATGGACCACGGCATCCACTTACCATCAGGTGGACTGTGTGCTCGTTTGTCACCCCTACTCTATAAAAAAGCAATATTAAAGGTGCGACGTCTGGTAATGCGACCTCCAATCCGCCTGCTGCAGGCGAGGATTGAAAGGTTTTTAAGGCTCCCTTCTCCGCTGTATGCATGTTTTGTCCAGCACGAAGTAAGCATGCGACATTCGGTGGACAAAAGTTATTTTATTTGAAACGTTTATGATTATTATCAGAAAATAAAGGATCTAAATAAAAATGTCGCGGAGTAACAATCTAATTCAATAACATACTTCCCATATTATCGACAAATATTATATGTTTATCGCTTTAAAAAACAATACGCGCAAAGTTTACATTGTACACGTAAACTTTTATGTTGACTATTTATTCGAGTTTGGTAAGAAAATAATATGAGAATGTCAAAGCAAATATATTTTAATGTAATAACAGCCACAATTGCGGTCAAAATTATTGATCGAAGTACAGACTAAGGAGGTTAGTGAAAAAGACCCCTGAAAATCAGGACGTCCCGCGCAAATTGGGAACACCTGGCAACACTATATAAAATCGTGTCTAAATACGATATTTTCTCCAACCTGGCCTTAAGGCAAATCAGAGTGGCCCATGTAGAGTAATGAACTTTTACTGGCTGCTTTTGAAGAAAAGTATGACGTTTTCTGTAAGCTATTACTAATATCTTGCTAAAAATTGTAGCAACCGTGATTCCATGACAAGTATGTGAAGCCTTTTTAGTTTTTCATATTAACGGTTACAACGGTCATATTTTGTACAACTAGACTTTCGCTTAAAATTTAAAAGGTAAAATTTTGTAAGATACTGCTGGCACTACATAAATATCCAACTGTACAATTTCAAATGTAGGTACGGTCAAACCTAAACAATTTGTTTGAACCGTAAACCGCGCCCCTTGAGAGTGAATATGGCGGAAGTTATTTACGCAGCGAAATATGAGCCTGCGCCATCTGCATCTAACGATTTCCTGCATGTTTTAACCACGTAGTAGGAAATCGCACTAGATGTCGTTACCGGTACAAGGCTGCCTTAATTAAGCTTATAGTTTTTTTGTACGTTTTAAAAATTTACCTTAAGTCCAGACGCAAAAATGGAGTACTCAGTTTTCCAATCCCAATTCCTTACATAAGTCTTGGCGCTGAACACTAATAGTAGGAACATAAGAGATGCGACTGCTAATGTGGGCCTTTTTTTCGCCAATAATCGCCATCCGTGTGCGATCAACAGACACCAGCCCATCGACGGAATATATAGGACTCTTTCGGCCACTACAAAGCCCACCGGGAAGAATAGGTTTGAGGCTGGCAAAAATGGTAGCACCAGTAATGCAAGACCCTGAAAAAATTGTTTATGTATTAGGTTTGCCTTGTATATATTTCTAGTGTATGTATATTTACATTAATATTTAATAGAATAGGCCGTAGTCAATTAAGTTTTTCTTAAAGATTATAGAGATTTAACGATAGTTAAAAACTAAAAATTGTTACCATCGACAATGCTGAAGAACGCGTTCTCAACGCATGTATGGCGCCAGCTATTAAAGTAGTGGCCAGCGCCAAGGTGGCCAAGTTTCGAGGGTCCCGCCAAGAACGGAGTAAGGCCACAGTGCCCATGGTCCAGTCACAGCAGAGGGCCTCAGGGAGGGTTAAAAGCCAGGCGTTCAAGGCCGGCAGGTAGGCGAACGTTAAATGCCTGTAATATAATTTTGGTTAGAAAATAGCATTTTAGAAATAGAAAAAGGTTTATTTGAAATAAAATATACTGATTATAAATTATACTTATTGAAAGTCATTTTTATGTTTAATTTACTACTGCACTGGTTCAGAATAATATAGTTCTGTTCAGGGAAAATCAGCAAGTACGGGTGGCAACCCTGGTCTACAATCAGGGTTGCCACCCGTACTATAATATATAGTATCGTACTATGTTTCAGCCTTTTTGGTCTAGTGGTTGTAGTAGTGCGACTGCTGATCATGAGGTCCCGGGTTCGAATTCCAGGTCGGGACAAAAAATCAGTTAATGAGTTTTTGCATCAAGAAATTCTCAGTAGCTGCCCGGAGTCAGAAAGTTGGCGGTGTCTCACCCCTCACCTCTCATATTTTCCGTCATGAATGTAAAATGGAAAGAGGAAAGAAATAGAGCATGTATTAAAATTAAAAATGAATTGTAATTTATTTTAATTTGAATCTACTTTATTTTCATTTGAATCTATTTTAATTTGTTCAGATTTCTATAAGTATTTTCAAGGTAATAGATCGTTGATGGCCAAAGCCAAAAGCAATATATACAAATAAATAAAATTGAAGTGTCGGTTTGTAATGTTAAAATAACAGCTTTTTACTCAATGCATATGAATGTATATACGGTATTTATAACAAAAACACAATTTTTTAAATTTTTGTCTGTCTGTCGGTCTGTCTGTCTGTCTGTTTGTTCCAGCTAATCTCCGAAACGGCCGGATCGATTTCGACGGGACTTTGACTGGCAAATAAGGAGTAACTTACATACTTATATTTGAGAAAAAGAATTAGGGTTCTGAGCAATATAATTAAAACCTCAAACACTTGCGGGCGAAGCCGCGGCGCACAGCTAGTTATAAATATATAAGAAAAAATTACATAAACATTAAGAATAAATTTGTATGTGTACTATATTTCTGCATCTTTTTTGGAAAAAAAAGACTATAATTGTTCACAAAAAAAAAGGTGGCAACCCTATCTACAATTAACTATACAAATCACATTAGAAATAGCATGATAGCGAATTGCTATTAGCGATCACCTCATTCTCAGGCGTTAATATCATCCATTAATTCCTTAACATTACAATCACTTTTTTTCTAACAATTATTGAATAATAATTTTACTGAACTTGGCGGTGGCGGTGGTAATGTATTAGCTTATGTACGAGATGTAGGTAAATGTGCAATCTGTGCCAATCAGAATCCACTAATTGGACAGTTGTTATCTATGATAGGAAGATACTGCTACCAATTTCCTGTTTATTTACAAAATTCGTAATCAGCTCCATAACCACGGCATCTGATCTGCAGGGCTATTCACAATCGTCTCGGAAAGCGAAATCGACTCGGATTCGATAACTTCTCGCACAGAAACCAATAAACGCTATTAGCATTTAACGTTCAGATAAAGGTCACTTAGATACATCCTATAACTATTGTATCGTCATTTAGTTACATGCATTTACGAATTTTGTAGATAAATAGGCTTTTGTAATTTTTTAGAGTAACGCCTGCACAAAAACATAATGCAATATTTTGGAGTTAGCCATTGATATCGAATATAAAAAATATATAATTTAACTATATAATAAATAACAAAAAAATTGAGATATGTCTCGTTTCTGTCGGGTCTGGGTTTTTTTCTATGGGGCGTTCTTTGACGTTTGTTTTCGATAATTGTGACAGTTTGCATCGGAAACTTTACGAGAGCTCTGAGGCTGGCGAAAACTTTTCGAATATTGATGATTAGAAGAGATAAATAAACCCTTTTAATTATAAGGTAGGTAACAAAAATTAATTACAATTATCTATAAGACGTATTTTCATATAATTACTTCAATATTTGCACTTAATCGTAAAGCTGAATTTTTGTGAAAGGTGTGTTTTTATAAGTTTTCTATCACAAATATATATATATATATATATATATATATATATATATATATATATATATATATATATATATATATATATATATATATGCTGCTTTGTGAAAAGAGACATATCTCAGTTTTTTTGTTATTGATTATATAGTTTTTTATATTCGATATCAATGGCTAACACCAAAATATTGCATTATGTTTTTGTTTAGGCGTTACTCTAAAAAAATACAAAAGCCTATTTATCTACAAAATTCGTAAATGCATGTAACTAAATGACGATACAATAGTTATGGGATGTATCTAAGTGACCTTTATCCGAACGTTAAATGTGAATAGCGTTTATTGGTTTCGGTGCGAGAAGTTATCGAATCCGAGTCGAATTCGCTTTCCGAGACGATTGTGAATAGCCCGGCTGTAGTCTTCTCAATTTTAAATTGTTTTAGGTGTCCGTGGACTGCAGCGTCCAGTAATCATCAGTTGGGCCGTTGTGTAGCTCGTCACTTTATTTAAGAAAATTGCTCATTCTACTTCACGAAGTCGCATAGTACATGAAATGGTAAATGAAATATTTTGTGTTGATTACCTGGCAGGTGGTGGAGCGGCACCAGCAGGATTGTCGAATCTTGTAAAGACTGGTAACTGTGCACCCATAACGTGTAATCTCGCCGCCAATAAGGCAAGTGTAGCGCAGCACACGGTGGCAACCCTGCGCGCCGCTTCGCCGCAAGCGTATCCCCATCCAGAGCCTTTGACCCATGCTTCTAGCCATGATCGACCGCTCGCGACTGTGTTGCGACGCTAAGGGAAAAGGGACGTAACAAAACTCGATATAATATTATATGGTTTTTGAAAATAAATAAATAAAATAAATATCATTATAAGTATAAATTTTTTTTACAAGTGTCAAATAAATGCCGTCACAATTTTTTTATTCTAGATCTAAAGCATAGCTTTAGTATAAACTGACGTTGAATAGATTGGCAATGCAAAAGAGAAAGAGCATAGTGTACGTGTTAGAGCGAGAAAGATAGGCTTGACCATGCACGTACACGCTGTCAGCCTGTATCGGCATTCGTGAACGAAATAAATCCTGCTTGTATTTGAAAAATTTCAGGGTTTAAAGTGAAAATTAGTGTTTGAGTAGTAAATTATGAATGGGTGCGTAGTACCTAAGCTTCACTTAGGTACATCATGTGCGTCAAATCAAAAGATACGAACACACTGCGATCGGTATCGATAATTGAAGTTAAGGCAGGCGATGCATAGTGCAGCACTATTTGTCTCAAACACATTCAAATTACACGCACACTGGTGTATTTTGATTTTGGTCTCGCCCTATCACTCCATCGCCAATCTATACCATATTTATAATCTGATGTAAAAATATCGGTAAACGTTATAATCTCCATTCGTATTTCTGTGAGATTGAATATAAATAAAAAAAGTAAAAATACTCTCTGATCATATTTTATAAAGGGACTACTACCCGCTATAATCGTATTTGTAGAACGTCACCTCTGTCACACGAAGAAATAACGAACTAGCTGGTAGGTATATTAAGAGTTCCCAATCACATATTTTGTAAACAAATGAAATATCTATTTATAAAATTTATATATTTGCAAATCTTACGTATTACATAATACTTTGACCTGGAAACGACTAAACTCAAAAAACTTGAAAGATAACGATAAAGTCGAAGCCAGCCGATTGTAGCCGACAGTCTCTCAGGTTCGAGGTATATATTTTACGACCGTGTATATTACCAAAGTTATTGACATTCAATTTGAATGAAAGTTACAACATCCGATTGTTAAAGATGGATTTCTAGCCGATTTTCTAATATAGCGACAACTTTCGAATAATTGTAAGCTATCTGCTCCACAAGAAATCGTATAGTTTTTATTGTATTTTAGTAAAAAAAGTTGTTAGGATTTTCTATCGCGGAACCATTTTACATAACTAGATTCACAAGGATATACATCCAGACGGGGCACTATTGTTTGTAAGTTATACAAACATTTGTTCCGTGCGGGTTTCGAACCCGCTGCATCGCAGCGCCGCTGCCACTGTGCTACAATGCACACACAAACAGACAGACAGACGCTCATGCCAATCTAGCGCGGTCCATCTTGTCGTTGCTTATGCATGCACTACAACTCTGAACTTTCAAACATTTTATTTTGTTTCATAAAAAGTGAAGCGGGTTCCCTTTTTCTAGATTTTCTTTGATTCCGTTTCATTATTAGGTGCGGAATAAAGATGAAAATTCTTGCCACGTATGCGCCCCACCGTCCATTGTGACGTTTTCATTCCCGTCTAAGTTTCGTATTACGTTGAACCGGATAAAATTAACCGAACAAAGGAAAAGGGATGTGAACGCCAAACAAAGCTTTGTCTTTGTCAATGCCTTTGACCTGGCCCTTTGAGGTTAAAGTGTTCAGCTGTCAAAGACAAACTATGGGTTTTATGTAAACAATTGTGGAGCATAATCAATATTATTGTATAATATGATGTTATTATAATTTTTTTATTTACTCTTAGATGTGTATTTATTTTTCCATTTCTTTGTTTACTTATTTTTGTAGTAGAGCCACGCTGCAGCTATATTATGGTTGTAGCACGAATGGGTCTGCTCGACCAGGGTGGGACCACGCTCTCATATATTACCAGTGTAAAATAGCAGCTTAATGCTGCTGTGTTTCGTATGGTGAGTGTAGAGAACCGGAGACCCTTTATACTGGAAATGAAGCATTCCATCTCAGTCCTCACGGGTGACAACGCATCTGCATTTTGATTCTTAATTGAGGATAAATGTAGATCTCTATGGGCCACAGCATCCACTTAACATCAGGTGGACTGTGTGCTGTTTGTGACCCTTATTTTATAAAAAAATCTCAGCTCGGAAATTGGGATGTATGATTTTAATTTTCTGTCATGGCATTAACATTTGTTTTTCCTCGGTGACGTAAAATGATTTCAAGACTATGTCAAACGAAATCTGTATATTTCTGACTAACCGATTGAGTGTGATAGTGAAATTAAAGGGTCTATTTTTTCAATATTGAAGTTAATATTTTTGCTAGTTGCTAGATCCAATCCTGCAAACTTTTTTTAAGTTTATCCCACACTTTACTCGTTAACGACTAGATGTTGTCTATATTTTAATAATTTATTTTACCCAGATTCATCACTGTATGAGATAAAAAATGTATCATATAATATATGTGGTTATGATGAGCCAGTGAAATAACAGGCTGTGAGGCATTCCATCTTAGTCCTCAGACGTGACAACGCATCAGTAGCCTTCTTTGTTTTAAGTCAGCTCCAGGGGTTCATAGGCTGTAATATAGTAGTAGTAGTAATATAGTAGTAGTAGTGTAATATAGTAGTAGTAGTAACATAGTACCTAGTCAGGTCATAAGTATTGTCACACAGTAAAAACTTTTCTTTTAGAATGCTGGCCACAAAAAAGTTTATTGAGTTCGAATTTCGAATTGTTCATGAAAATAAAACTGTATACTTTTTAGAATTTTACTCATTTTTAAATATGGAGTGGACGCTTAAAGAAGACCGTGTTGCAGTTATTGCGTTGCATCGTTGCGGTTACGCGCCAATTCAAATTTATGACATACTGAAAAATTTGAATATAACCTAAAGATTCGTTTATCGTACCATCAAACGATACAATGAAGACTCTAGTGTAGATGACAGGTCAAGAAGTGGTCGCCCTCGGTCTTTTAGGACTCCAGGAGTGATAAAAGCTGTGAAGGCGCGAATTCAAAGAAATCCCAAACGTAAGCAGAAACTGCTGGCCTTTCAGATGGGGTTAAGCAGAATCACGGTGAAAAGGGTATTAAATGAAGACTTAGGGCTTCGGGCATATCGAAGAAAAACAGGACATCGTTTGAATGCTCGTCTAATGAACCTGAGACTGAAGAGCTGAAGAGATGCCGGGCTTTGTTGAAGCGGTACGCGGGAAAAAAATATCGGGAAATTCTTTTTTCGGATAAAAAAATTTTTACCGTAGAAGAGAGCTACAACAAACAAAATGATAAGGTGTACGCACACAGTAGTGAAGAAGCGAGCAACCGTATTCCGCGTGTCCAACGAGGTCATTTTCCATCTTCGCTCATGGTATGGTTGGGAGTTTCTTATTGGGGCTTAACAGAGGTACATTTTTGTGAGAAAGGTGTAAAAACGAATGCAGTTGTGTATCAAAATACAGTCCTGACGAACCTTGTGGAACCTGTTTCTCATACCATGTTCAATAACAGGCACTGGGTATTCCAACAAGATTCGGCGCCACCTCATAGAGCGAAGAGCACACAAAACTGGCTGGCGGCGCGTGAAATCGACTTCATCCGGCACGAAGACTGGCCCTCCTCCAGTCCAGATTTGAATCCGTTAGATTACAAGATATGGCAACACTTGGAGGAAAAGGCGTGCTCAAAGCCTCATCCCAATTTGGAGTCACTCAAGACATCCTTGATTAAGGCAGCCGCCGATATTGACATGGACCTCGTTCGTGCTGCGATAGACGACTGGCCGCGCAGATTGAAGGCCTGTATTCAAAATCACGGAGGCCATTTTGAATAAACTTTAGTGTCATAAGAATCTATGTTTTGTTAAGTTCATTTTGGTATATAAATGATTACATAATTAATAAACTTGTTTCAATTATTTTATATTAAACATGTGACAGAATTTATGACCTGACTAGGTACATAAAAAAAAATTACCTTCTGCGCTACAAACAGTTCATATACGACGCACACTGCAGTGATGGTAATGCCTTGCTCCTTACATAGCATGGCAACACCCACGCAAGCTATACACGCCGCTAAGTAACGCCAGTCTGAAAATAACAGTAAAATGCTATTGTTAATATTTAGTATGTACGCCATTTGTCATTCACGTCCTCTCCTGGCCCCGGCCGATTTGTCAAAAGTTGCTAATTGCGCAGATTGTATTAGAACGCGCTTCTCAATATAATAGACAAATGAAATAACCTGAAGAATATGTTATTAACAGTAAATTATATTTTACAATGTCCCTAGCAATGGAAATTGCAATTATTAAGCATTTATTCCAGAAATATGTTTAAAAAATGCATATAAAATGACAATTTTTTGATTGTTCTTTAATTAATATCGCATGCAATTTATACCTATGTTTAAGATGTTTTAAAATTTTTCTCCGTGATACTATTGGAAATACAATGGGGGACAGCAATTTACAAGCAATTTTGAAGAATTAATTCGAAAATATGTCCAATAAAACATAATACAATATTTTATTTTAACACTAAAATATATTTTTAACAGAGCTTATAATTGACACGATGTTCTCAAAAATTATCAATCATATATGTGAAATCTCTCAGAGGAAATTATCTGTGCTTTGGCAAAAAACCAAGTTGGTACTTTTTAAGGGATTTCGTGCATATTTTATGTAAGGATAGTAGAAAAATATTGGAGTTTTCTGATCAAGTCGTTTAATGATAACACGCAGTTACGTAATTAATACGGAATAAAAACAGGAAGGAAGTATTACATAATGTTGATATTTAATTGATGTTACATCTCTGTTCATGTCGATAGAGATCATTTCCAATTATAAGTTTAAGCATCTCAAATAACTTTTTATTTAATTTATTAAACAAAACGATAACGTGTCGCTGAGCTCATTTAAAATAATGCCGAAAATCAAAACAATTAGAAATTATTCAAATACTTATTCGCAACCCATAGCGGTATGAACCATTGCTGCGCCACTGTGATTTTTGTTTGTATAAGGGTGACAAATGAGCACACAGTCCACCTGCTGGTAGGTGCATGTGGTGACCTATAGGCAACTACATTTATCCTCGATTAAGAATCAAAATGCAGATGCGTCGTCACCCCTGATGACTAAGATTAGGGTTACCAGATGACAGGAATTTTCCTGACATGTCCGGAATTTTAGCTCTCTGTCAGGGAAACAGGAAAAATTTGAAACTGCCAGGAATTTTTAAATAAAAAGAAAAAAATATTAGAAGTACAAATTAATATATTTATTAAACAGTTTACATACAAAAAAATAATAATATATGAATCAATCCCGAAGTTAAATTATTTCATTCATCTGATCTGGCTCGTACTTTTTATTGCGCATATGTCAAGCACATGCGCGAGTTTTTATATATATTATTAGGATAGCTGGTTTCTTTACGTGGTAGAGCCATGATGCAGCTATATTAGTAGTATAGTTGTAGCACGAATGGGTTGGTTCGACCGGGTCAGGACCACACTTTTACAGAATAACAGCGTAAAATAGCAGCTTAACACTGTTGTGTTTCGTATGTTGAGTGTAGAGAACCAGATACCCTTTTTACTGGAAAAGAGGCATTCTATCTTAGTCCTCAAGGGTAACAACACATATGCATTTTGATTCTTTATTGAGGATAGATGTAGATGTCTATGGGTCACAGCAACCACTTACCATTAGGTGGACTGTGTGCTCGTTTGTCACCTTTATTCTATAAACAGTTTCTCAGCCTATCCTATAAAAAAAGACATTTTTGGGTAGGTATTTAGGCGCGCTAAAACCCTGTCAAATACCTACCCAAAAATGTCTACCAGCTCTCGTACTATTTGCTGCCTCTGCGTCAATATCAGTAAATTTATTGAAAACTCAGGTATATTGTCAGGAAAACTCATTGTGGGATCTGGTAGCCCTAACTAAGATGGAATGCCTCGTTTCTAGTAAAATTGATCTCCGGTTCTCTACACTCTCCACACGAAAGACAGCAGCATTACACTGCCGTTACGTTGGTATTCCGTGAGAGCATGGTCCTTCCCCGGTCGAGCCGACCCGTTAATGTTACAACCATAACATAACTGCAGCATAGCTCTACCACGTGAGTGTAGAAAACTGTTTAACAAAACTAGAACCTAGTGATTATATACTTTATAGTTGAGAGCAACAAACATAAGTATTCAATTGCACTGTGACTTATTTACAAAGAGTGAAATATATTTAAAACGTATTCCACTTTCTTACCGATTTTACGTTAGGAGAGAGGATAATTATAGTTAATCACTCTCCCAGCCGTATAATTTTAGCATCGTTCGGAACCGGTGATTTGTTACCTCGCCTTAACGAGCAAAAGATATCTGGATCATTGAATAATGTAATAACTTGTGTTAATTCCGTGAATTATCTTTGAATCACTTTTATTTTAACATACTACCTTCAAAATTTTTTGTATTACACATATACACAATTACAACCATAGCTCTGTGGTCAGAATGCCTTAATATTGTGATTACTGTGGCTAAGTATTAGATTCGGATCCCAGTTGGATTTTTTTGTAATTATTACAGCTAATTTGGATTTTATATTATAGCTATTAGCTACTAGCAGACAATAATGCTATCAAGATATCCATGATGCCATTATTGTCTGAAATTGCGCGATGGCAAGTAGCAACTGCAACGAATTTCAGACGGCCATTTTGCGTAATTCTAAGGAACAGGTATTAAGTTGAAATTAATATAAACTACTAAGGTCCCTTGAAAGTGTAAAAATCATTCAAATGATACGTTCACTTATGTCACATATTTAGGTAATCGCAAACTCACTCATGAAAAACCTACTTCCCATTGAACTAGAATAAAGAAATTTGGTAAGAAGCAAAGTCTCACTGCACAAGTATTAACTTTTGAATCTTTTTACCTCAAAGATCCAAAAATCGTTAATTTGTAGTTTTGTATTTATTGTTTCGTGCGGTAATCAAGCTCGTCACCCGCAGCGTCGCAATCCACAATCAGTGTTTTATATTATACATAAACATAATATAATATACCTACAATAATATTTATTAATTTATATTAAAACTTATATCTATCATTACAGGATTATACCCAATAAAGCACGATTTACAATCCTATATTACCTTATAGCTAGGTAGCTATAGCTTTTTTACGTGGTAGATCCATGCTGCAGCTATATCAGTAGTGTTGTTGTAGCACGAATGAGTCGGCTCGACCGGGGAAGATTTACGCCTTCACAGAATACTAGCGTAAAATAGCAGCTTAATTCTGCTGTATTTCGTATGGTGAGTGTAGAGAACCGGAGACCCTTTTTACTGAAAACGAGACATTACATCTTAGTCCTCAAGGGTGACAACGCATCTGCATTTTGATTCGTATTCGAGGACAGATGTTGGTAGATGTCTATGGGCCACTGCAACCACTTAACATCAGGTGGTATGTGCACTCGTTTGTCACCCTTAACCTATCCTTAATACCTAAAAAAAGGTAATTATCATTATCTATAAGGCAAGTTTTGTGAATATGAGGCGTAATAGCTCAAAAGCTAAGCCCGTTTACTTTTGCTTGAGTTATTTCCGCGGTGATTATGTTACACGATGAAGTTAATTGAAATTATGTTTTATTTTAAAGTAGAAGTAATAAAAATGTAGAGCAGAAAACGTATAACAGAGGTTTTTGGCGCTTGTGTAATACGATTCAAAAATTGTAGGGAATCCCAATTATTCCGTTTTGAAGAGAGTTGGGCCTCTAATTGAATTCGACCCAAACTCTCGACCGCGAATTTTTAAGTCAAAGGTACGTGGGTATACCTTTGAAGAGAAAATTTAAGTTAAAAGCAACTGCAAATAACCGAGCACACAGGCTTAACGAGATTATGTTCTCGTTACGGGAATAGGTGGCGTGAGTGTTTTCGCGTTTGTGTTGGTATATGAGAGGAAAGTTTGATAATATGGTTTTACCAGTCAAGTTAGGCAGAATTGAAATAAGTTTTTGCGGCACAACAATATTTTACAGTTGAATAATAATGCGTTTAATGTGCAATGCTGAAATAACAACGAAAAAACAATGACGAAATAATTGTTGATTGAATTGTCTATAGCTATAACAAATGTCATTATAATATATGGATAAAATAATAATAATATTATTTTTTCAAATTATTAAAGTTACAGCCAATATACATCCCACTGCTGGGCACAGGCCTCCTCTCATTTCTGAGAGAGTTTTCGGGCAAGGAAGTGTCCGCCGCGCTGCCGCAATGCGTGTTGGTGAACTTCACATGTCTTCGAAATATTTTTTTCTCATTTCTCAGACATGCAGGTTTCCTCGCAATGTTTTCCTTCACCGAGGAGCACGTGGTAAATCAGCACATAAAATTGCAATTAACAAATTCATTGGTGCAGGCGAGGATCGAACCCGGGTTGCCCGCGTACTGTGAAATTAACAGCGAGCGCTAACCATAAGCGCGCGTTAGCGCTCAAATTATTATTAAAAAAAAAATTAAAATTTTGTTAGAGATACGACTTATTCTGTAAATCATAGATTATACAAATAAGTTTACCATGTGCCACAAAATTCAACGTTCAGGGAAATATATCTGACTCCTTTTTTTTAAACCTATAATAATTTTTTCAATATACTTTAAAATTTGATACGCTATACAATATTTTAGGAACTACTTAAAAGCAAATTTCACTGTGATTTTTTTGCATTAGCTACCCAAGAAGCATAGCTTCATCCCAGTTCCAAATAAAAATAAAATATTTGAATTTTAAAGAAAAAATTAAATTAAGTAAAAAAATTTCTTGCAGATTTAGAAAATTTTAACTTTTGGTAAACTTTCATACGTCACGACATAAAAAATGTATCAATACTTCTATAGCAACTTATTATAAAAGTTAGTACAACTAATCAAGATACTAAAATGGTATAATACTCTATTGCAACTAAGCGCAAAAAAAATATATTCATAATTTTTCCGAAGAAGAACCAAACACAATTGTTAATTATTACCCTTGACAACGTTATTGGGTGCCCCAAA